AGCAACAACAGTCTCTAGAGGGTTAAAGATGCTTTAATTGAAAAGAGCTGTAGCATGTACCCTGTCATATAATAGTTACTTATGTTCAATTGCATTTATAGCATGATGCAGGCAAAGTTGAATGAATGAATAAATAACAAAATAAATGTATGTATGAGTAAATATATTTGATTTCATCAAATGTAAAAATTTCTCGACTTTCAGGATAACTAATACATTTATCTTGTATATTAAATTTTTCGAATTGCTTGATTTTACTTGTCTTATTGATAGAATAATTTTTTTAGATGGAATCAAGAGAAAACAGAAATATATTTTACATCAGAAGAGTAATTAATGTGGTACAAACGGAACTTGCTCAGTTCTTTATCAAAGAATGGAACTATCGTTACAAATCAACACATGGAGAATGGGATGATACACACAACAGTGGTAACAAATTTTACAATTTGGAATCGAGTAGAAAGTTAGATAAAGAATTACAGTTAAAATATCAAGATGGAGACACCAGTAAGTGGGACTGTACGACATTATTTAATGCAATACTTTTTTCAAAATCAATTGGAAAGCATCTGGACAAAAAAACAAAGGATGCTCTTCATGCACTTCGTGGTGTAAGAAACAAAGACGCACATTGGTATGAAAGCAATTACTCAGATGACAAGTTTGATGGAATTGTCATTGTCATTGAAAAATCATTTCAACATTTGAAATTTTCCCTCGATGGAATCAATGAAATAAAAAACAATCGAAACAAGTTTAATTCATTTCAAGTTTTTCCTTCAAAACCTAATCATTTTCTCGTTGAATGCACTGAATTACGAGATAAAATTATAAAAAATCTTGAAAAATTAAGGAATGATAACAATGATAAACTGGCATATTTTACATCACTGGTAATCCTGGCTGTGGTAAATCGCAACTTGCAAGACAGGTTTGTGAAAAATTATCGTGTGATTGGAAAAATAGAACTTCGTTTGTAATGACCCTCGATGGAAAAAATGAGGAATCCCTTTTAAAAACTTACTGTGAGCTTGGATACCGTTTAAACTGTGACAAGTATATACTTAAAAACTTTAAAGATGAAAACTGTTCCATCACAGACAAAGTGAAGAATTTGCGATCGTTGGTATCCACACGATTAAAATTTTGGCAAAATTGGTTGATCATTGTAGACAACGTGGAGCAGCTCAGAAAAATTTCTTCGTTACTTCCCCAAGTTGGTGATCCCATGTGGATAAATGGACAAATCATAGTAACTATCCAGAACACATATGCCGTACCACAAGACAACAAGTTTAACAAACATATTTCTATCAAAAGTTGAATGAATGATAGGGAATGTTTTCAACTGTTGAAGCATTATACTGTTGAACATGCTGATGATCAATTGTTAAATGAAGTATCGCACGCATTAGATCGTCAACCGCTGGCTTTGGCTAATGCTTGTTGTTATGTCAGTCGTGTAAACAAAGCAAAATGCCCATTTACTTGGAAACAATACTTAGAGAAACTTTATTCAGAAGAAGAAGAAAACATGGACGCCACTTTTAATAAATTTAGCTCGGTATATCCTAGAAGTATGTTACAAGCTTCACTTTTAGCTGTCAGACAAAATGTTAAGCATTTGATCTTTTGTTACATCTTTCAAACTTAACCAACTAAAGCTATTCGTTCAATGTTGGTGAATGTTTTACCATTTGGATAGTCAAACAGAAAACATATAACAATTTGCTCATTCTCAATTTATCTGATTAAGAATTTAAAAACGCAAACTAACATCATATGCAGAGTTATTCACCATGAAATCTTGGGCATATGTTTCATGTTTTTTGCTTATATTGCATCACATGAGATGAAAAGGACATAGAGCAGGGCAACTCCTTTGAATTTTATTGTGCCACGTATATCTTACTACTCATGTTATTACCATATTGGCAGCCAGTAAATTGCATTGTGTGACCAATAGGATTGACGATATGGAAAACGGCAGCCATTAAACTAAGTGCCTGTTCACATGAACCCAGTAAACGGGATTCAGCGAGGCGTAAAATGATTTTAAGTCATTGAAAAGAGTTAAAACCTTTAGCGCACAACTTACAACCTTCTTAAGCGTTATAAGTCATTGCAGTCGTAATTTTCAAATCAAGCTAAAGTGTTTGTCTTCATTTTAAAGGTTTTGTGAATTTCCAAAGTCCTAGTACAGACAATTTGCTCAAATAAGATTTTTGTTGTGAAGTATTTAATCTTTTCCATTTGCCAAAATGATTCAACGCTTCCCTGAATCCCGGCTACCGGGCTCATGTGAACAGTCCCTAATTAAATATACAGCAGCCAGTTGCTCAGCCAAGTGCCCCTAATGTATATTCCTATATTGTGATTTGACCCACTCTAAGCATTCATTTTTTTGAAACCGTAAATGCGTTCTGAAGGTGTTTTCTCCCCTACTGGTACCACTAATCTTTTAAATTTGCCTACTGAGACTCAACTACAATGTGTTTCTCATCTTTACTACACATCTGAGATAAGCATTATCTTATTTTCATTACATTCTTTACTCTTGTGTCTGCAGTGTTTTCTTATCATAAGTTATTATAATTCCGTGTAGTTGGAGTTTGAAAATTATTCATAATTTACAATGGCTTATTAAATGAAAAAGGATTTTTATAATATGAAATAACTTATGTAATAATCTATTTGTATGGAATTTTGATTAATGAAATAAAAGAAACATTTGCATTTTCGAAAATCGTGTCTTAAGCATTAACATTTAAATCCTGTCTTTATTACATTTAGCACTAGTCCTTCGGAATTTGACTAATCTCAATGTTATTATGTACTCTGCATGAGCTACTTATTTATGTATTTTTGTTTCTATGACAAATGTTTTTAGTCAATGATGTATACTTAGTTATATAACTGAGATGTTCTACATTGACACACCATAAAAGAACATACATTAGAGCCACTCTATTCAAATTTTTCGTGCGACGCATATCTTATTACGCATGTGATTGCCAGATTGGCAGCCAGTCAATTTCATTTTTGACGAATAGGAATGATGAAATGCCTAACGGCAGCCAAAAATCTAATTAAATATACAGCAGCCAGTTGCACACGAAAAGGACCTACTGTATATTCCCTATACTGTGACATAGATGTCATCAATGTTTCATAATACTGTTTTTTGAAATAGATCCAGAATTTTTTTATTTTAATTGCATCCTTTACTGCAATATGTAAAGTGTTTTTTCTTGATTAAAAGTATTTACAATTACGTCCAGTTAATAAGTAAAATGTATTGATAATTTACAATGGGTTATTCAATAATAAAGGTCTTTTTATAACATGAACTCACTTTTGCAATAATACACATATATGGAAATTTTGATTAGTGAAGTGAAAAATACATTTAAACTTTCAAAAATTGTGTCTTAATCATTCACATTCAAATCCTATCTTAGAAAGGTGATTCATTTATTCCTAAAATTAAACTTGTCAAACTTTATATTATTACTTTCGAATTTGACTCATTTCAATGTTATTATGTACACTGCATGAGGTTCTTATCAATGTATTTTTATTTCTATAATGTTTTTAGTCAGTTACGTATACTTAGTTTTATAAATAGAATGTTCTACATAGATGTCATTAATGTTTTATAATACTGTTTGTTGAAGGAGATCCTGACTCACTCTTCATCTTCGTTCACTATTTAAATGTGTTTATGTAACAAAACTTACATGGATAAAAGATTAATGTTACAAGAAGGTATGAATTATGATCACCATTTTTAACTGATATGTATGTGGTCGCGTTGTTTATAATAAATCCCTCATCCGTTTGCTGCGAATGTGAAATGTAAAGAACTAAAGCCAACATAATTTTGTTCACACGGTGGTCTTACTTCTGACACGAAAGTAATATTAGAAAAATTAAGCGATATTTTAGAATTATACTAAGCACATAACGAATTAGCTAAGAAGCATCTCGATAAAGTATGACTAAACTTGCATGAGAAATCATATGTAAATTAATATACCAACTTTCTAACTATTGACAATAAGCTGCATGGTAAAGGAAAGCAAAATCTGTTCAAGGGTATGGGAGAGGTGAAATAGCATACTTGTCTATGGAAAAAATGGGAATCTGTAAAAATTTATGTTGGGGGGGTAGCATGTTCAATCATGCATCACCTCCATTTTTTGCCGACGCCGCTTTTGACTAATCGCTGTATGTATAACAAAATGTTGTTATTTGTATTAAGCAAACCTTTCATTTTAAAAGTAAGAACATTTGTAAAATAAGCAAATGTTGAACACAGGAAGAATGTATTTACACAGAGAAAGTACGCAACCGAATCTATTTTTGGGAAATGTTGATTCATGCAACACAGTGAGCTTTTAAATTTATACCTTTGATCATGTTCAACAGTTTAAGGTTTACTTTCATTGCAACCATTACTGTTGTATCTACAATGTTTTTATTGATCATAAGTAATTATATTTACGTGCAATTGATGTTTGACATGTATTTATAATTTACAATGGTTTATTTAATAACAAAGGTTTTTTATAATAAGAACTGACTTATGCAAGAATATACATGTATGGAATTTTTCATTAATGAAGGAAAAAAATCCATTCACAGTTACGAAAATCGTGTCTTAATCATTGGCATTCAAATCCTGTCCTAGATACGTGATTCTATATTCCTGAGTTAAGACTTGTTAAACATTATAAGATTTAGCAGTAGTCCTTTGGAATTTGACTTATTTAAATGTTATTATGTACTCTGCAAGAGGTTCTTATTTATGTATTTTTATTTCTATAACAATTGTTTTTAGTCAGTGATGTATACTTAGTTATAGAACTAGAATGTTCTACATAGACGTCATTAATGTTTTATAATACTATTTGTTGAAAGAGATCCTGACTCACTCTTCATCTTCGTTCACTATTTAAATGTGTTTACGTAACAAAACTTACATGGATAAAAGATTGATGTAACAATAAGGTATGAATTATGATTACCATTTTTAACTGATATCAGGGGCGGATCTAGAGTATGTCAAATCCGTCGCGCGACTGATGTTTGAAACTCAAAAATTACCTATTCATATTAGTTAAAAATTCATTAATTATTCTTACTTTATTATCGCATTTACTTCGTGATAAAAATCCAGCTATATTTATTATTGAAAACTAATGACTAATCCAATGAATATCTCCTTGGTAACCAGATCAGTTGAATTTTAATTTACCTGGAATAACCGACTGATAAGCGGGGTGACTTGACTGGTTCGACGGATAAAGGAGTCTATGAACGTCAAAAACGCTTATTTCATTGATAAAAAGCCAGATCAGTGGACGATCTGGAATAATCTCGACCGATAAACGGGGTGGCCGTACCTATAAGGGAGTCCACTTGCTATCGTGTAATTGGTTCGTTTAAATTTTTGTCTTACTGTGATTGGTTTGACCTATTTCGACTGATAGCCAACTGAACTAACATAGTCAAGCTCACTGTCTGAATTGAATGTTTGATCGTTTCATAATAATTTTCTAAAGCATGATAGAAACTGAACTTCAATCAGATGAAATTTATGGAAATCTTTTACAAATTTATATATTGACACGAATGCTGCTTTCTAAACTGAGAATTTTTTCAAGAGGGCGAAAAATTAATGGATGAATTGTAAATGCTTGGCAAAGACGATCTCGCGAGCGACATTTTAGTCATTGATGTTCAAAAGCAAGCCAACATTGTTTTGTGTTGTATCAGCAGAAATTTACATCCAAAATCTTAAGTAAAGGACAAGTGAAGTGTATGCATAAATTTAATATATCAAAGTCAATTTATGCAAGTGTGTGATGCGATTTATGTTAATATGGCGTATGGTAAGCAGATTGATGCTTCTAAAATTGTTGTTGCCGAAGGACTTTTAGCTATGATTTGTTTAGTGCTTGGGGAATCGTGACCGTTATATGGCAGCGAAATCCTACATTCCTGCAAATATATTTCAATGGACAAAAAGTCTGTAGCCATAAGGCGCCATACTATTATTTACTTTATCATAAACAAATTTTTTTGTGGCTTTTCAGTTTATGATCATTGATCATTCAATCATTGGACAGTTATACTACATATTGTTTAAGATTTGAGAAAACTAACATTGATTGCATGAGAAGCTGTTTACTATAACCTGCGATTTTGAGTCTTCTGATCCATGAAGCTTTTTATTTTGACAATTTGACTGGAATGGTATTAAACCTTAGTATTTCACATACATGAAATGTTGTCCCATGTCACATATTGTCCCCTTTTCTAACTGAACACCTCATGTAGAGATGTAAAGGTGTGTTAATCTACGGCTCATACCAGATTGTTTGCCATGAATTCCAAAAAGCTATTGATGTATGAAAAGCATTTTGACAAGTAAAAATGTCTTCCTTTGTATGCAGATAAACTTTGAAATTTGGCAAAACAGCAAAGTATTTTTCATGATCACTAGGTAATTTTTCTGATGATCATTATGATTTCTAAACTAAAGTATTTCAGATTTACATTTAAACGAGCTTTGATCATATGAAAAGATATTTGTCATAACCAGTAAGCATGACACATGAACCAATTTTAACATTCATGTAATTATATAATTAAAGACCTGTTGGTTACATTCTGTTTCTATTTGATAATACAATGCTACTAGTGATTGCTATATAGCACACCTTGATAAAGATAATAGTCAAGTGAAATGCCTAATAATCATTTATGGCATTAAGCTGTCCTTAACTGCAAATTTTCACTCTGATAATTTTTGCTTAATCTGTGGCAGAAAAAAATTTTGAGTTTTTTCTCAAAAGGTGAATTTGCTAGTACTGATGTGGAGATGGGTAAAGGGTTACAATAAACTTGCATGGTTTGAAGTCTGAGCTTTTCTATATCTATGAACTGTCACTTGTAGTACCAATTTTCTAACTTAACTCATTACATAGAGGTTTGAATGGGGGTCTCTAGGGGGGTCTATGCCTGACAACTTGGTAGAAATTTTTAAAGGCTATATCTGTTTTTGAATATAGCATTATTGTAAAATAAATTTTACGTTTCTAGACATGCTAATGAGCCTAAATATTTGGCAAAACATTCAAGTATTGTTCACTTTATTTTATTTTTTTTTGAAAAAAACGTAAACAAAATGTGTTGTTTTTACGCAAAAACGATGCCCACAAAATACATTTTGTAATGTTCTAAAACGCTGAAAATGGCATTTTTAAGGCTCTGAAAATCAACATTTCTCAGGAGAGATAACCTCAGACCCCCCCAGGTGCGGAGCGCCTCCGACGTTTTATGACTGATGTTTGAAATATCGTAGATCCGCCCCTGACTGATATGTATGTGGTCGCGTTCTTTATATTAAATCTCTCATCTTTGTAAGGTATGTGACATGTAAAGAACTTAAGCAAACATAATTTTGTCTACACGGTCGTCATGTATGAAGTCTTATTTCTAAAACGTAGGTAATTTGTCGAAAGTAAAGCGAGATTCAGAAACTATATTACTATTTTTACATAACAACTTTGCAACTGGCGCATCTTGATAATGCATGACTAAACATTCAAGAGAAATCATATTTAAGTTGATACACCAACTTTCTAACTATTGGCAATAAGCTGCATGGTATAGGGCAGTAAAACCTGTTCATAAGTATGTGCGAGGCAGAACATCATGAGAACATTTTCTAAATGTAGGACGCTGAATTTTTTTTATAAACTATACTTGTCTATAGAAAAAAGGGGGATCTGTAAAAATTTATGTAGGTGGGGGGGAGTTGGGAGGGCACATGTCCAATCATGCATCACCTCCCTTCTTTGCTGACGCCACTTTTGACTAATCTCTGTGTGTCTAGCATAATGTTCATAGTTGTATACAACAAACCATTTCTTTTATAAGTAAGGAAATTTGAAAAATTTGCAAAGCCAGACACAGGAAGAATGTATTTACACACAGGAAGAACTCGACCGAATATATTTTTTGTAAAATGTTAATTCATGCAACACAGAGCTTTCAAAACTGTACTTTTGATCATATGTTAGTTTAACAGTGTTAAAATTTACTTTCATTGCATCCTTTACTAATATATGTATAGTGTTTTTTATTGATCATAGGTATTTACAATTGCGCTCAGTTGATAAATAAATTGTATTGATAATTTACAATGGATTATTCAATAATAATGGTCTTCTAATAATACGACTCTAACGACTTTTGCAATAATATACATGCATGGAATATTTTTGATTAACGTCGTGAAAAAATTTATTTAAAGTTTCAAAAAATTGTGTCTTAATCAATCACATTCAAATCCTATTTTAGAAAGATGATCCCTTTGAGCCTGAGTTAAAGCTTGTAAAACTTTATATTATTTAACAGTAGTCCTTTAAAATTTGACTTATTTAAATGTTATTATGTACTCTGTATGAGGCTCTTATTTGTGTATCTTATTTCTATTACAATTCTTTTTAGCCATTGATGTATACATAGTTATATAACTAAAATGTTCTCCAGAGATGTCATTAATGTTTTATATTACTGTTTGTTGAAGGAGATCCTGACTCACTCTTCATCTTCGTTCACTATTTAAATGTGTTTATGTAACAAAAACTCTCATGGATAAAAGTTTGATGTAACAATAAGGTATGAATTATGATCACCATTTTTTATCTGATATGTATGTGGTCGTGTTCTTTTTAATAACTCTCTTATCTTTTGTTAGGTATGTGACATGTATAAAACTAAAGCAAGCTTAAATTGGACGACAAGGTCGTCAGATATGAAGTCTTACTTCTACAACAAAGGTAATTTTACAAAAGTAAAGCGTGATTTATATCCACATCAAGGACCTAATAAATTAGCTAAGGAAACATCTAGATGAAGTATGAATAGACATGCATGAGAAATCATATCTAAGTTGATATATCAACTTTTTAACTATTGACTATAAGCTGTATGGTAGGAAAAACAGTAAAACCTGTTCAAAATTAAGAGGAGGAAGAATAGCATGATTGCATTTTCTACATGTAGGACGCTGACTTTTCTTTACTTACCTTTGCATTCATCTCTAGTGGATACAGTATCTGAAGAGGCCTGCTTATGTGCAGTAGCTTTCCCTTGCCAACAACTTTGACTTCCGCTTCTCTAACTTATCTTTTCCTTTGATCAATCTCTCGATTCTCTCTTTTTTTTCAAAATCCTCTTTTCAAACTATCCTTAAACAAAAAGAACTGCATCACATACTTTCGGACACAACTACCCTTTACTTTGCAAACCTTATGACCTCCACCTTAATCAAAATGCTTTCTCAATCTCGCTAAATACCTAAACCTACGCTTGTATGCAGAACTCTTTTGTCTGGAATAGATGTTAATCTTCTTCCAAACATAATATGTGCAGGAGTCAGTACATCTACATTCACTTCATCTTCATATACATAAATCAATGGTCTAGAGTTTAACGTACTATGTACCTCAACTAATGTTGTTAACAATTCTTCCTTGTTCAATTTAGCGCTACCCAACACCTTCTTCAGACAGCCTTCCACCGATGCTACCATTCTTTTAAAAAATCCACCCCACCAGGGTGTCCTCCTCAAATTAAACTTCCATATCAACCGATTACCTTCCAAATATGATTTTGCTTCCTTATTTTCATAAATCTCCTTCGACGCTTTCTCAGCTGCTTTAAATGATTTGGCGTTGTCCTAATATATTAGCGAGGTGCTCCCAATCTAGCAGTAAGTCTTCGCATACAATTCAAAAAACAACGTGCACTTAAACTATCAACTAAATCAAGACAAATTGCTCTTGTAAAACAGCAGGAAAATAATGCGATGTATACTTTTACCATCTGTCCTCCTTCTTTTGCAATCAATGGACCAGCAAAATCTACTACTACTTTAGAAAAGGGTGGTGAATACTGAACTCTAAAATCTGCTAAATCCGCTTGCACTGGTATTTTATAAGCCTCTCCTTGATGTGTTCTACAAATCCTGCAATTTCCTAACACTTTCTTTGCGATGTGTCTGCCTTGTTTCCCAATATTTGCCTCGTAGCTGAACAAAGGTCGCTCTTACCCCACTATGATGAACCTTCCTGTGGTAATCTTTAAAAATTAATTCGGTTAAGTGATGATCCTAAGGCAATAAAATTGATTCTGTAACTTCTAGTTCTAAATCTGACACTTGCAATGTTTTAGTCTTGTTTGTCCCGAGTTCAACTCTTGCCTTCAAATTGTCTACAAATCACCCAATGATAGCTATGACCCTTATTAGTCTCTTTATATAACTAAATTTGCTGAATTTTATCACACAATCTTCATCTACTACCTGTGTGTTAGCCAATACTGTCTTCTCGACTTCCGCAAGACTTTCCTCTGTAGTTTTAACCTCTTTTGGCATTGGCCAATCACAATGGGGACCTTTACAACCACTTCAGTTCCTTCCATCAAAGTTCACTTTCCTTTAATTGTGATGCCGTAACTCCACTTGAACCTAAGTCCGCTGCGTAGTCTACACCCGGACAATGTTTCAATTTATCCTTCCTGCTCAATCTTAAAATCTTTTAACTCTATGGCACAATAACTGTTTCCATTTTCCCCTATTACCGATCCAGCACAATCCAGTCATACCGTCAACCAATAGTATGTACCATTAAATGGAACGTAACCTTCTAAGGCCGACTTAAGTGTGTCCATCAACTGTTCTAATATTCTAGCTGACATCTTTTATAGTTTGGAATTGTCTGCAATTTTATTGGCGCTATCCTTGTTTTCGACGTAAGCAACTCTACGTGGTAGGCACCGTTTAGCTCTGTCACAAAATATACGACTACACAGTATGCCTTTTGACTGGCATCTGCGTACCAATGCCAGTAACAGTTTACCTTACTAAGTAAATTACCATAGACACATCTCGCCACAACTAAATCCCTGACTCTGTCTAAATCTTCTATCCACCTCTCCTAACGTTTTTTCTTGTCACCTTCCAGATCATTATCCCATTCAGCTCTCTCATTACACAGCTCCTGAAACAATAACTTAGCACAAACTACAACTGGACTTAAAATACCTAAAGGATCGATTAATCCTGCAAGTATATTTAGTATACTTCGTTTACTTGGAATGAATGCCTTTCTCTTTCAGCCAATTTCCAGAGGCTAAATTCAAACGATTCGATTTACACTCCCATCCCAATCCTTGTACTTTCTCAAAACTTCCACTGATACTATTTTCCCCGACTGATGCTTTGGCATAAGTTTGCTCATCAACCACTTTCGAATTACTAAATTCCGCCCTACTTTCCTCTAAAATTCTTCTTTCTCTCTTTTCTATTTCTTTCAAAACATTCTCATCCTTACTTAGCCACTTCCTAAGCCTAAATCTTCCCGCAGCCAATCGCTCACTTGCTGACTCGTACAACCTCATTACTTTCCTCTTGGATTGTTCACCGGACACTGGATCATCGACATAAAAGCTATCTATGAGTTTTTCAATAAATTCCCTGTCTATCTCTATGAATAAGTTATTGTCATTTTTGCTTTTCGACCATTTTACTGCGTTTTTTGCTAATTTCATGGCTAATTCGTACGCGTCACGGTAAATAAGCATAGAAACAAGACCTTGTTTTGTTTGAATATAAAAAAGAATTTCATTGTTTTAATTGCTTTGCTAAGAAAAGCGAAATCGTCAAGGCAACAATGCATCTAGTACAGCAACCAAATACAGCATCGGCAAGGCCTGACACAATGTGCTTCAAGACAATATTTTTAACATTTACATTGCTATATAATTGGCAACAATTGGTGGGGGACTCGTTTAAATGTAAAAAGCTCATCAGAAAAACAACAAGGCTTTTTCGCTTAAGTTGACCGCCAGTTTTTTTTGGATAGCATGCAGTTTAGCAGACACCCAAAGCGCTTGTATGGGAAACGCGGGCTCGTTTTGGCTTATGATTATAAGGTAGGGCTGGGGTCAGTGTCCAAGGTGTCCGCTAGGCTGCAGTAGTCCGGAACGAAACACACTAGGCAGTCACAACACCTGCAAAACAGTGTAAATTAGCAACAATTACACTTGTCATTTCTATAGTAGTTGATCTATCTACACATGCTTCAGTAGTTTTTCTATCTACACGTGCTTCAGTAGTTCTTCTATCTACACGTGCTTCGGTAGTTTTTCTATCTACACATGCTTCAGTAGTTGATCTATCTACACATGCTTCAGCAGTTTTTCTATCTACACATGCTTCAGTAGTTTTTCTATCTACACATGCTTCAGTAGTTTTTCTATCTACACATGCTTCAGTAGTTTTTCTATCTACACGTGCTTCAGTAGTTTTTCTATCTACACATGCTTCAGTAGTTTTTCTATCTACACATGCTTCAGTAGTTCTTCTATCTACACGTGCTTCGGTAGTTTTTCTATCTACACATGCTTCAGTAGTTGATCTATCTACACATGCTTCAGCAGTTTTTCTATCTACACGTGCTTCAGTAGTTTTTCTATCTACACATGCTTCAGTAGTTTTTCTATCTACACATGCTTCAGTAGTTTTTCTATCTACACCTGCTTCAGTAGTTTTTCTATCCACACGTGCTTCAGTAGTTTTTCTATCTACACATGCTTCAGTAGTTTTTCTATCTACACGTGCTTCAGTAGTTTTTCTATCACACGCTTCAGTAGTTTTCTATCTACACATGCTTCAGTAGTTTTCTATCTACACATGCTTCAGTAGTTTTTCTATCTACACGTGCTTCAGTAGTTTTTCTATCTACACATGCTTCAGTAGTTTTTCTATCTACACGTGCTTCAGTAGTTTTTCTATCTACACGTGCTTCAATAGTTTTTCTATCTACACATGCTTCAGTAGTTTTTCTATTTACACATGATTCGGTAGTTTTCTATCTACACATGCTTCAGTAGTTTTTCTATCTACATATGCTTTAGTAGTTTTTCTATCTACACTCTATCTACACACGCTTCAGTAGTTTTACTATCTACACATGCTTCAGTAGTTTTTCTATCTACGCATGCTTCAATACTTTTTCTATGTACACATCCTTCAGTAGTTTTTCTATCTACACATGCTTCAATACTTTTTCTATGTACACATGCTTCAGTAGTTTTTCTATCTACACATGCTTCAGTAGTTTTTCTATCTACACATGCTTCAGTAGTTTTTCTATCTACACATGCTTCAGTAGTTTTTCTATCTACACATGCTTCAGTAGCTTTTCTATCTACACATGCTTCAATAGTTTTTCTATGTACACATGCTTCAGTAGTTTTTCTATCTACACATGCTTCAGTACATCATCCTTTACACTGACCATTTCTTCCATCATATCTATCTTTAGAAATTTAGAATTTTTGTCCATTCTTTAGGTTGCAAACCTCTGATTCCATACTTCTAAATTTGGATATTATTTTGCAGCATACACCTTCTCTGTTTGAGTGACCTTGACTACAGAAACGACCTCGAGTAACATGACTTGACTCGCGAGTATTGAATGGCGAGTGAGCTAGTCAATTGCGAGTCACTCGAGAGTGACGAGTTGCGCAACCATTTTCGCGTATTCAGTTTGAGCATAGCATTGGAGTGACTCACAAACATTCTTCTCTTTCTATATATAGCATTTTAAAAACGGAAAGGCTTTTCTAAAAGCTCAGAAACGATTTATGACGTAGCTCTTTGACATGCAGGTGCGACTTTTGATTATTTTTATGTTAACAATTACAATTGTAAATGCAATAAAATTGTGATTAAAATGCTAAAGTTTTTAAGAGTATTTTAAATTCTCATCTTAAAAAGTTGAGCATAACCGAAAAGTAATATTCAACAAATCATTTTATGTAAATGATTCCCCAAAAATACTATTTTATCAACATAAATTAAAAACTTTCGTTTCAAGTAAAATTTATCAAAGATAGGTAAGATTATTAATTTAGTAGCTTATGGTCTTCTAAAAATTGATGAAAAGTCTCTAAGATTACCATTCAATCCTCGTAGCCAAAGAAAAAAACGATAATGAGTTACAGCATTTTGCAAAACAAATTCATTTACTAAGTTATGTTTGAATAAACGCATTATAGACTATGGTTGGCATTACCATAAGCGTTACATGGTATATTCAAGAAAAGGCTATCAGCTAGAACACTATACTATATTCTTAGAAACAGTCTAAACGATATATAAGTCAAAAAATGACGATCTAAGATTATAGAAATCTAAATTCCTATGTCTGTCTTTTGGAAAGTCACGTGAACTGTCCAGTAAAGTACTTGATTTCAATATTGTTGATACATCATTTTTTTGCAGATAGAATTAAGAGAAAAAAGAAACCTATTTTACATTAGGCAAATAATTAATGTTGTTCAAAAGGAACTTGCTTCATTTTTCATCAAACAATGGAACTTTCATTACAAATCATCTCATGGAGAATGGGATAATACACCCAAAAGTGGGAAAAAATTTTGCTCTTTAGAATCAGGAAGAACTATCAAACCAAATGTCCATCAAAAATATCAGGATGGAGACACCAGTAAGTGGGACTGTACGATATTATTTGATGCTATACTTTTTTCAAATTCAATTAAAAAGCATCTTGATAAAAACACAAAGGATGCTGTTCATGCACTTCGTTGTGAAAGAAACAGCGACGCACATTGGTATGAAAGCAATTACTCAGATGATGAGTTTGATGGAATAGTCAATATCATTGAAAAATCATTTCAATATTTAAAATTTTCCCTCGATGAAATCATTGCAATAAAAAATCATCGAAACAAGTTTAATTCATTTCAAGTTCTGCCTTTAAAACCTAATCATTTTGTCGTTGAATGCACTGAATTGCGAGATAAAATTATAAGAAATCTTGAAAAATTAAGGAATGATAACAATGATAAACTGACATATTTTTACATCACTGGTAATCCTGGCTGTGGTAAATCTCAACTTGCAAGACAGGTTTGTGAAAAATTATCGTGTGATTGGAAAAATAGAACTTCGTTTGTAATGACTCTCGATGGAAAAAATGAGGAATCTCTTTTAAAATCTTACTGTGAACTTGGGTACCGTTTAAACTGTGACAAGTATATAATTAAAAATTTTAAAGATGAAAATTGTTCCATCACAGACAAAGTGAAGAATTTGCGATCATTAGTATCCACACGATTAAAATTCTGGCTAAATTGGTTGATCATTGTAGACAACGTGGAACAACTCAGAAAAATTTCTTCGTTACTTCCCCAAGTAGGTGATCCCATGTGGATAAATGGACAAATTATAGTAACAATCCAGAACACAGATGCCGTACCTCAAGGCGATGAGTTTAACAAACATATTTCTATCAAAAGTGGAATGAATGATAGGGAATGTTTTCAACTATTGAAGCATTACACTATTGAACATGCTGATGATCAATTGTTAAATGAAGTATCTCACGCATTAGATCATCAACCGCTGGCTTTGGCTAATGCTTGTTGTTATGTCAGTCGTGTAAACAAAGCAAAATGCTCATTTACTTGGAAACAATATTTAGAGAAACTTTATTCAGAAGAAGAAGAAAACATGGACGCCACTTTTGTTAAATTTAATTCGGTATATCCTAGAAGTATGTTACAAGCATCACTTTTAGCTGTCAGACAAAATGCTGAAGAGTCCTTAATAATAACAAATGTTATTAACTTTTTTTCCGTGATATCGTTTGATCCTATACCACGAGACATTATTGTTTTTTATGTTCAAGAAATTGATCCCAAACACTCAAAGGAAGATATATGTCTTCATTTAAAGGACTGCTCATTGTTCTTGCATTCAGAAAATAATGACATTAGTCTACATCGCATTGTTCACAAAGCAATTATTGTTTATCAATCTGAACATTCAAATGAAGAACATGAAATGGAAACTAACGTTGATCAAATATCTAAAGCACTTTACATGTTTAAAGAGAGAGACGACGAAATCAAATTAGTACCACATCTTGAAAATATTGTTCAATTATTAAAGACCAACAAGACAAAAATCAACATGAACACTTTAGAAATTTTCAAATATTTTGTTGACAAATTAAGACATTTTGGAAAATACGATCTTGCTCTTGAACTATTGGATAAATTTAAATCAGAAGAATCTAGTTATGACAAAGCTTGGTATTTTAATATCCTCGGTGTTTTATACCATGACACCGGGAAATATAGCAAAGCTAAAAATCATCATGAAAAGGCTCTGGAAATTCGAAAACAATCGTTAGGTCCAAATCATGCTGATGTCGCTAGGTCTTTAAACAATCTTGGTTTGGTGTATTATAAAACTGGAAACTACGACAAAGCTACAGAGTTTTACGAAAAAGCACTAGAAATTCAAAAACAATCGTTAGGTTCAAATCATGTTGATGTTGCTTTGTCTTTAAACAATCTTGGTATTGTGTATAGTGATACTGGAAACTACGACAAAGCTATAGAGTTTCATGAAAAAGCTCTGGAAATTAAAAAACAATCGTTAGGTCCAAATCATGTTGATGTCGCTATGTCTTTAAACAATCTTGGTTTTGTGTTTGATGAAACTGGAAACTACGACAAAGCTATAGAGTTTCATGAAAAAGCTCTGGAAATTAAAAAACAATCGTTAGGTCCAAATCATGTTGATGTCGCTGCGTCTTTAAACAATCTTGGTACGGTGTTTGATGAAACTGGAAACTATGACAAAGCTATAGAGTTTTACAATAAAGCTCTGGAAATTCAAAAACAGTCGTTAGGTCCAACTCATGTTGTTGTCGCTGCGTCTTTAAACAATCTTGGTGTAGTGTTTTATGAAACTGGAAACGATGACAAAGCTTTGGAGTTTTACGAAAAAGCTCTGGAAATTCAAAAACAATCGTTAGGTCCAAATCATGTTGATATCGCTGCGCCTTTAAACAATATTGGTTTGGTGTTACATGAAACTGGAAACTACGACAAAGCTATAGAGTTTCACGAAAAAGCTCTGGAAATTCGAAAACAATCATTAGGTCCAAATCATGTTGATGTCGCTGCGTCTTTACACAATCTTGGTTTGGTTTTTGATAAAACTGGAAACTACGACAAAGCTACAGAGTTTTACGAAAAAGCTGAGGAAATTCGCAAAAAAACGTTAGGAACTAGTCAGGTTTATGTTGCTCAGTCTCTTAAACAATCTAGGTGTGCTGTATTATGAAACTCGGAAATATAACAAAGCTTTAAAGTTATACTTTAGTAGCTACGCGTTTTAAAGAAAATTTTGCCTTCCAAATTATGTTAAGCCTATTTTTAAGTCAACTCCCCTCTCCCTCAGAAGGTATTTTTGGTACTGAACAAAACGTTTGCAGTTTGTATTTTGTGAAGTAAAATGAACCTAATGATGCAATGGGCCTTTTCTATACATAGTTTCACTGATATCTAGTCAATAAACGTACTCTACAGGCCAGGAATCATCCTAAGTAGAACTATAACTGCCCATGCCCTGAATCTGACATTCTCCTTTAGACTTTATTTCTAAAGTAATTTATTTTTCTGTTATAATCAAGTAGTTATTTTTATTGTATGATTCACAAACATACCAAAGTATATTGGGATGACAGAATTTTATGACATAAATTTTGTTAAATAAATACTATCCTGTTAGTTTTTCATATTCTTTGATACATTCAGTAATTTTAACCCAGCTCCGTAAGCCTATGGCCATATTCCAGGTTCCTATAATTTCTAAAGTGTACCCCTTTCATACTATATTCCACCCCACCATGCTGCAGCCAATATTCCTGTACTGTCTCTATCTCCGCCATGAAACATAGAAGAAGAACACAATTGAAACCAGGAATCTTTTGCCGTCATCAAAGCATCGTAAGCAATCATTGGTGCATCATGAACACTGGATCCACCCCAACCTGTATAATTCACAGATTTATAAAAAGTATCACTTTCAGGTATGTTATATGTCACTGTAAACTTTGATTTATTAGTTCCATTCATTTATCCCTGTAGTTCAAGATTTTATTGCCTTCTTTTTGATAAAAGACTGAAAAGTACTACTTTTGAACAAAAAAATATAGTTTTTTAAGAAAACTACAGTGTTTAGGAGAAAACTATAGTTTATCTTGGAAAACTATAGTGTTTAGGAGAAAACTATACTATAGTTTGTAAGAGGAATAAACTATTGTGTTTAGGAGAAAACTATAGTTTATCAAGGAAACCTATCGTTTATCTGGGAAAACTATAGTGTATGTAGAAAAACTACAGTGTCTAAGAGATAACTGCAGTTATTATGAGAAAACTATGGCGTTTATGAGAAAACTATAGTTTATGTAAGGAACAACTATTGTGTACAGGAGAAAACTATTGTTTATCTGGAAAACTATAGCGTTCAGGAGACAATTATAGTTTTTATAAGAAACTATGGTGTTTAGAAGAAAACTATTGATTATATGTGTATCGCATATGACAAAAATAAAACACAGTATACCTGCATGGAGAGACCAATCGCACCCACAAACGCCATTAAACTGCTTCCTATTTTTCAGTTTAGGTCTTGCGGGGGCATCAGCAGAGCAAAGAGGGGCAAAAACCCGTAAACGATGACCATGGAATAAAAATCCTAAGACAAATTGATGCAGTTTTTCTAGCATGGATTGAACTAATCAGAACCACGAAAATAAATCTTTTTGATTCATTTAATAAAGGGGCGAGTAACTTTCACTAGTTTAGTAGAAACGGCGCAACAAAAGTGAACCTGTAGGGCTAAACTTACTGTGAACAAACGAACTGTGTCTCACCTTGCATCAAGTTAGGCTAAAATATATAAATGTTAGAATGAACTTTACCTCATAGAAAAAGTAGTGGGGGAGGAGGGGAATTGGTTAATCAAGCTCACTCTATGGCGCTGTGCTTATTTGGTCTAACATATTGGTAAACTGCCCAAATATAATTGAAACCTGGTACATGCACATGATGTTGTTACCTTTAGTTGCCAGCTGTTCAGTTTCTTCAACAAAAGGTTGCAGTAGAAGATTCATGTTTAATTTGCACTTTGAAAACCATAATGCTGGCATGACAATATGCTTTTTACGATGATCTGTTGGCAGTTCTAAAATGGTACACTGTATTGGCCATAGATCTTTATTAGATGACCTATAAAATAAGCAATAAAATTTTTAAACAAAAATAGCAAATGGTCTTTATGAGATATTAAAATAGTTTATTATAGCTAGCACATTTTCAATTCATAGAATAGTTATTAGAAATTTCTTATGAAAGACAATTTAAACATATCTTAAGGTAGGTAAGCAGATCAAGCACTTCTAATTAAATTTATTCATACACTATAAATGGTTTGTACATTTTACATAAATGGCAAATGCTCAATTCATTAGCTTCAAATATCACTACAATATGAAGTTTGGATTATTCTTTTACTTCATACAACAGATGCATTACGTAATCAAATGCAAAGCAGAAGAACCATGCAAATTAAACAAAGGCAATTACCTACCAAAATACAGGAATACCATCAGCATTCCACAACAAAGAAATATGATTTGGTCCATAACCATGAACTTCCTTAAGTTTTTTGTACACATATCCATCCGTGGCATCAGTTATAAAATCATTATCATGATTCTTTACAGTTTGGTTAAGGAGACACCGGGCAACAGCATTATCCTGCAGAATCAGTTCAAGTTGTGACTGTAATGACCAGCAAGAAAAATAAGATTTCTTGTTCTTTGCACTTTTCACATCTCTTCGCACATAGCATGAGCTCTTTTTATTCACTTCACACTTGTCAGTTGGGCCAAAGTAAAATGAGCACTCCTCACAAAAGTAACGGTGTACAAAACATTATTGATTGAATTTTTTGTAAAAGAGGTACTTTGTTTTAGGCACAACATTTGGTAAATGCAAGTTCATAATTTTCAGAAAGTCACTCAATGCTTCATCCGTCAGTGGGTGTTTCATAACAAATGACATCAAAAGAACAAACGACTGATTGTGGGTTAAAGGTGCATCTTTGTATATAGGCTAGTTTCTGCCACTCACAAAACCATAATTTTGTTCTTCACCACACCTTGTACTACCAAGGGAATCATCCACGTCATCACTAAAATCATCTGCAAGTTCAGTAGTTTCATCAAAATGATGAGTACTTTCTCCTGAAGCATCATCAGACATGTCAGTGTCAGAGGAATGCTCATTATTGAAAACATCAGCCAGGTCATAAGGTTCACAAGGGTCATCAAAACCATCCCACAATTCATCATCAGATTCAGTGGTAGATTGCCCACAGCCCCCTCTGTTTGAATCAAATTGTCTGTAGATAATGTATTGTTAGTGTAAGGTTCTCTTTCTACTTCATTTTCACAAGACTGTTCACTTCTCCATAAGGTAGTTCTTGGATCTACAACTTTGTCATCCCACAAATATTCTTTATACCTTTGTCTTGACATTTTTTAGTCAATCAGCTACATATAAATAAACAGTAACAGAAGTAAGACTTGATGTCTGCGATTATAAAAAAATTAAGTGCAAAGAACAAGAAAATGGGCTAATCAGCAATTATGTTATAAAGTCCGGCATGTCTTAAGAAAGCAGAATGTTTCATATATAATTATATTTAAAAAATGCAGTATATTCTTTTTTTAGCTTGGCTTCCCAGTTTCTGATTTTTCAATGTCCTACTACAACATTTTCTCAACCTGACAAAAGTCGCATGTCCATGCTTTTAAAGTTAGTGACCAAAACTCGATCACATTCACATATATGTTAGCTAATTATAAACAGCATAGTTGATATGTGGCTCAATATAACGGTATAATTGTACGACAGTACTTACAAGTTTAGACGCTTCTTTGCAACACACAATAAACAACAATTAAACCCAATTTACGTATCTTTTTAAGATAAAAAGATTAGAGGAACGTATGCAGCCTGATGTAGCCCACCGAATGCAGTGGTGTGTGTAACTGTATATAGGAAAATAGACCCAAGTTCAAAGTTCCAAACTAGTATCGCCAGATACAGTCATATTCGTTAATCACATGGTCTCTTCATATTTATTGTTTAAAGGTGGTCATTTTTGAATGTCTCGTTTTTTGGATATAATTTAAGAGTTGATAAAATTTTTTCCGCGATAATATTCGAAAATATGGCGTTTGCATTGGTGAATTTTTACAACGAAAATACATGGTATATCATTCCATATTCTAACATTATTTTTTAGGATGAAAATATGTCGAAAGACAAAGATGAACTTAAAGGCTCAAAACGTTAGTCCTGTGACATTTCTTTCATGAAACATCTTAGCTTTGCTATATTTCCAGTGGCGTGGTGGTAGGGGGGCCAGGGGGCAGGGGCCCCCTAGCAGTTGATTTTGGGGGGCGCTGAATTGAATACGAGTCATCAAGTTTTAAAAATGGGCTATAAAAAATTAAAAACGCATTTGAAACAGAACAGTTATTTTTGCAGTTATGTATTCAGTGAATGAAGTTAACTTTAGGGAATTAGGGTAGAAAGGAAGTAGACAGACCAAAATGAAACCTTGTAAGGGGTTCGATTAAAGAATAAGATTTTGACGAGCATTCTCTAATAAGATGTTTCGTTTTTGGGCACAACGCTTGAATGATTTGTCACGATGACTGTAGACAACATACATGCAAGGGAGAAACTAGGGTGCTATTCATATATTCAGCTTTGCCCTGTTGATTTCTATTGAATTTAACATCACCAACAAAAGAAATCAACAGCAAGGCAGAGCTGAATATATGAATATTTACACCATCCCCCAATTAGCATTCTAGTTTCGCCTGTGCTTACACGGCCAAATTGTCCTCTTAAGGGACGCAACAAGGCCTTAAATGTGTAACTTTTTGCCTATCTTAATCAATCTTTTTTGCTTCCCTCACAGACAGTAATCGTTACTGACATTGTATCATATTATTAATCCAAGCGTAATAATATATTTTTTAAAAATGACAGTAGTGCAGTCATCGGTAAATTGCTATCATAATGCATAGTCTAACATGAAGTAGCCCTTAATGATACCGCAGCATGTACTGCATGTTTGTATGGTGTTATTTACATTTTCATCGTTACGACGCTTCATTTGTCATTTTCAGTAGTAAAGGAAGTTATTATACGGTAAAACATTTTTAAATCACTTAAAGCTTCTTCGTAAATGTTCAACATTAATTTATCCGCAGTTATCGAATGTGCATAGCAGCATATATTTAATTGAAATTAAGATATTTTTTAAACAACAACATTTGAAGACCAATTAAATGAATGTCTCAAAATGCAAAACTCTCATTTTGAGCAGATGTAATACAGATGTAATTCACACAACAAACATTTCATGTGATAATTCCATTTGTGTTGGGAAGTGTATTTTAATATTATTTAATGTACATCATGGATCATGGTGCAATGTTAAAGACTAACTGCAATGTCTAATTCTTTCAACACCACGAAGAGAAAAAAGTCGGGTGCTGAGTATCGAAGATTAAAGAAAGCTAGACAAGAAGAAATTTCAAAACTTGGGGGAGTTTTGCTTGATTACTTTAAACCTATACAAAATGACCCACCATGCATTTTGTCACAAACAACAGAGGAGTTAGAATTAAAACTCAGGGAAACGCCGAACATCAGTGAAGACCTTAAACAAGTGCATGCGCAAGAAACATCTGAGTCGACAGATGTAAACGATCAAGATTTGCATATCCTGATATTGACAGCTTTGTCAATTCAAATGAACGTAAGGAAGGTGAAGGCATCTCAGAATCTGCTGAAAATGAATTGAATCGAAATATTTCTATTGATACGAAAGAAAACACGTTTGACCCTGGGACAGTTGTTGATCTTAATCTCAGCATTAGCGAAAAAAGGTGTTGAATTAAAATGAATCCATGCCAACCATCCCAGTTTGTTTTGAAACAAAGGAGGATAGTACAAGGAGATCGCACTCGCTATTGCTCCCAGCAGGTTTTTTCCACGATGATGGAACAAGACGAAAATGGATTTCCTATTCACTAAGTGACGACAGCTTGTTTTGCATACCATGCATTCTGTTTACAGATGTAACGTCTAGGGGAGAAAATATTCGGTCAAATCAAGGAAAAGCATTTGCAAACATTGGTTTCTCCAAATGGAAAAAGCAGTATATTAGAATTCTAGAGCATGAAAAATGCAATTCTCATCTAAACGCAAAAGTTGCAGAAGCTCTTTTCCTTCAAGAAAATTCAATATCGGATCAGTTTCATCACCAGGGGAAAATCGAGTCTGAAAGACGACGTAAAAAGGAAGTTGTTTTAAACAATACAGTTTTGAAACGTGTGATAGATGTTATTGTGTTTCTTGGAAGACAAGGGCTTTCCTTTAGGGGTCACTGTGAATCACTGACAAATTTGTATCTTAATACAGGAAACTTTTAGGAAACGCTTAAATTATTGTCAGAGTACGATCAACCAATCAATGAGCATCTTGAGAAAGTTCGTGATCACCAAGCAAAGTAATCGACAAAGGATGGTAGTAAAACTGATGGAAAAGGAATCAAAGGACGTGGCTCATGGCTAACGTTTTTGAGCAACGATATTCAAAATAAGTTAATCAATATCATTGGTAAAGAAATATCTTCTGTAATTGTACAAAAAATACGCAACTGCAAAGCATGGGCATTGATTGCTGATACAACACCCTATATAACTCATACAGAGCAATTGAGTATATGCGTAATGAAACTGGCGAGTGTTCTGAACACGTTTTGTCATGCCAAAAAGCAACTGGAACAACTGCACATGACCTATACACTGCTATTACAACAATTTTACAATTGCACGGAGTTTCATTTGAAAAACTTGTTGCCCAAACGTATGACGGAGCATCCACTATAAGCGGATGTTATAATGGTTTGCAGGCAATTAAAAAAGAGAAAATCGGAAACCACATTATCTTTGTTCACTGCTATGCACATACGCTAAATCTCGTCTTATCCGATTCAACTTGTGTTGCTATTGATGTCATTACTCTTTTTGACTCTCTCGAAAAACTGCACGTTCTCTTTAATAATTCTCATAAAGTACACGAATTGTTTCAATTGGTTCAAAAAAATGAAAACCTCAAAATTTTTTCGATTAAACGTCTTAATACAGTTCGATGGAATGCAAGAGAATTTTGTCTAAACGTATTTCTTTTGAGGTTCGAGTGCATCATGCGAGAGCTTCAAAAAGTAGCTGAGGAAAGATCGTTCACTGAAAGTCAGCGAGCAACAGCAAATGGATTGCAAGCAGCTTTTCAGACAAAGCAATTTGTTGCGACTGCCTGTCTTTTTCAAGAAATTTTTGGAATTACTGGACCTTTAAGTCGATATCTACAGAGCGTAAATGCTGAGTTTGGAAAAGCAATGGATATGGTTGATAGCTCAATTTCTAGAATTCAAATCATACGTGACAAACCAGAAAAAATCATTGAAATGTCAGATTCTTTTGCGTTAGATGTCGAATGGAGGTCTACACGACCTCTTCGTCGACGACCAATGGACGGAGAACAAGCCAGAGATGATTTGGCAGATTCACCAAAAGCACAATGGAAGCGAGACACATTTTATAAAGTGCTAGATTCCATTCAATCTTCAATGAAGAATCGTTTTGAAAAGAATCGACCACTAATGAAATCATTTGCTTTATTCGCATCCAATCAATTTGACGAGCTCTCGAGCAACTACAAGACATCTCACGATCTTCAATCTGCAGTGAAAGCCTTTTGTGATGTGTATAAGATAGATTCCCAAAGATGCGCTACTGAACTGTCAAGCTTTGCAGAAACATTTAACAAATTTCACTGTTCTCAGTTTACAACTCAAAGTGGCATTGATCATAATGAGCAGAATTTTGAAAGTATTGATGTTGGTGATGGTGATGATGATGATGATGAAAATCATTCTGATACTGACATAAGTAAGCATTCGAATAATGCGTCAATTACCGAGAAGGCTAAAACTCCGTCATTCTTAGATGCCGTGAAGCTCCTATTTTCCAAAGTACCATTTAGTCGACGCATACCCAACATTATGCAAAGTTTATTCAATTGCAGTGGCCATACCCATCAGCTCAGCAACTAACTGCTGAACGTTATTTTTCTTCGCTGAAGAGAGTAAAAACGAGGATTCGATCTACAATGGTACAGGAACGCCTGGAATCATTGCTTTTAATGGAAGTTGAAAGGGAAACTCTCCTTTCTATTGACAAAGATATAATCATACCTTTACTAGGAAAAACCTCCCCAACGCTTGCAAAGGCAGTAATATAAATATATTTTTCTATGAAAAACAAATAACGTAACAGACATATAATTGCTTAATGATACTCGGTTTTTAAGTTACTTTCCTTTTTATGAAGATTCATGTTTGTGTTTTATAAAATAAAAATAACTAAAATACTTGAAAATAGCTATAAGAAAAGGTGAAAGGGGGGCAAAATTTGTGTTGGCCACCGCAGTAAAAACTATGCCACCACGCCACTGTATATATCTGTCAATTTCTGAGTGAAAATCTATTTGTTTATTTCTCTGTCTTGTTTGTAGAAATAGTCATAGTTGATATGAAGGTTGCTGTTATCAATTCAACTTACTGCTTTTTTAGGAGGGAAATACTTTCTTATGAAAAGCCTTTGCTCAAATGTTGTTCTTTCTTCTACATATCAATAGTTCAATTACAAAACTTGACAATAAGGATGTGCCTATTTCCCAGATTTTAACTTGTTTGCTCTTAAATACATGTAGTAATACATTAGGCCAAACTTTGCATAAGGTCGTTTCCTTATAAATTCAGGCATGAAACTGCTTCCAATTGAAAATTATTATTTTTTAATAGTTGTTAGATAGTCATCCATTATTTTGTTTAAACAGATAGTAAAGAGTATTTGCTCAAAACAATAAGAGAAGAAGAACTTTCTCTATAAATACTGGCAAAGGGTATCGCAAAAGAATTCACAAAGCAAAGTTTACAATTGAAAGTGTTAGTGAATCAGATGAAGTGGTGAGTTGCCTGAAATATTACATTGACCACATTTTGTTTATATGGTGTTTACTGCATGTTTCTCAATTATTGCTGCCGTCATCTATAGTTAGCACTCATGTCACTAATGTGATGATGCATTCATGGAAATTTGTTATATACTCCATATGGTATTCATGATTCAAATATTATTCGCTACTAATTCTATGTTCAAAGGTCTGCATTGCTGATCAAGGCTATGAGCCTAAGAATATAAACGAGAAGTAGTAGCTAATAACAAACTTTTGAAACAACATGTATAAAATTTTGTATTGTTGTTCTTGTTACCAGCAGGAGCACAGTATTCCCAAAAAGCTAAAGACATCCAGGGCAAAGAAAACAGAGGCTTGCTGCTCAGCCGGTCTTGCTTCATTTATAAAAGAGTGATTAACCAAGGTATGTACTATACACAATGATAACACTAATTATTCTTATCTCTAAATTACGCAATTTTATTAATAATAAGTAATGCTTGGGATTTAATGTCATTTTTCAGAATAAAATTTGGATGTTGTTTGGTTAAATGCTAAAAAAGTTGATACTGTGTGATATGTTCCCGTTAATCATAAAATGCTGTTGATTTGAAATTCATTTCTTGTTTCTAAGTGAAAAATCTTTTAAAATGCAAGCATTGTACAGTGTAAGGCTTGTATAGGGCAATCATACAAAAGAATTTTCAATCAGTGGGGCTTATGAAATTAAAAAATTGAGATTTATCATTATAATATATTGTACTTGTTGTTAGTAAAGTACACTTTAATAGTTTGTACTAAAAGAAAAATATTGTTAAATATTGCCTAAGTTCTTGTTGATTATTTAGGAGAGTCAGTCAGATGAAGGTAGTGCACTTTGCAATGATAAATGCAAGTATAAAAAAGAAGCCTTGGAACTCAAAGAGAGGGTAAAAATGCTGAAAAATCAGATGAAAAGACTTAATAAGCAAATTGACAATGGCAATGGTAAGCTCGAGGAAAATTTACTTCATTTGTATTTTCAAATCAATGCTTTCCTTGCTTTTTAGTTTTGTCTTCCAAAATGGAGAAATTTGTAAATTGCTTGTTCTATACAGTATATTTTGGATTTGAAATTTAGTATTTCTGCGAAAAACAACAACTCAATATTACGTGGTGTCATCAACCTTTAGAAGCTTATGATATATCATTTAAAAATTTATAGATTTAAGAACTTCATAAAAAAGTTAAGAAGATATGTGTGTACCTTGGAAGATTTCGCCAGGTCACTTCCACAAAGATCATTTCTGACCACAACTTCCCTCAGTAAATCCCCGTCCACCACATCTTTTTTTCACTCATTGAAGGTTTGCCTGTGATGGAGAATAGATTCACCCCAGTTTCATCTGGGAGAAGTAGCTCTTACTCAAACCTTTCAAATCTTCCAGAAGAAAACCCTTCCCCATAACAACTGCTGTGTTTGAGAGCTCTATCAATTGACTATCAAATGAAACCAACCAAACTATGGAAGAAAGCCCTCTGGATTGCTCAAATGCAACAACTGAAGACACTTCTTTCCCCGAAATGGTGTGTTTTGTCTGTACCTAGCTTTAAATGGTACTTAGCATTAGATTTGGTTGATAAACTAACATGCAGTTAAAACATATCTATTAGAATCAATTAATTATGTAACACTGACTCATCAAATCGACATAATTCAAGTTGTAATGTGCAGCAATCCTTTTTATAATTATTTACGTTTGTTTTTAGAATCGTAACTGAGGTTTGCTTTTTTATGAACACTTTGAGTAAATAAAATGGCTCCATTTAATTGGAGATGGAACATTTGCAACTCCAGTAATATAAATTTCACATGCTGTTATTCTTCAATTTATTTCAGGTCACTTTGGGACCAAATTTGGTTGTCAAAAAGCATGTCCTTAAAAGAATCGTGACAAAGAAAGTTCGATCATATGTTGCTAACTTAATGGGGGCAACCTTACCCTATGAACACATGACTACCCACAGCTACAAGGGCCAAAAAGGGAAAAATGGTCAGGTCAAGCCTAGGCTTGATCCCACGTACACTACTTCTTTAATTCGTAAGTAGAAATATGGTTATTTGAGTCTGAGTGCCGTTGAAATTAAACTTCAAACAATTCAAGGACTTGTTTCAGTATAAATATTTAGACTCTGCATTTTCAAGCGCGTTTGACCAGCCGCAAACATCTATTTTTTACATGTTCTGCTATGCAGACATAGCATATTGTTCAAACATCCTCTGTGCTATGTCTTGTATGGGACAATAAGTGGTAATAATGAAAATTTATGTTGAGTTTGAGTTACTCGCCATATCTCTTTTCGTAATATACTCTACACCTTCAGTAACAACCACGAGTGAACTTTATGATCCAACTGATTTTTATTATTTTACAGAGCAGTATTTATAGTCTTTGTTACATATAACAAATATTATTATTGGTCGGTATAGTTCCTCTATTTAAGCTATATATGGTACATAAGGAAATTGAACTAACGTCAATAACTGTTCCTTGGCTGTTAGCCGTGTGGGAACGGATACATTGGTAAACAAAACTACGCACATACTATTTCCTTAACATGTTTCTGTGGTTCATGAGCATGACTCAACAATTTAATGCATTTTTTAATATTTTAAACTTACTGTTGTGAACTACTATGTTGTTTTGATACTTTTGTTTGTATTGAAGACCTAGTCAAGTTTATTAGCTTTTGTCTTTGCTGACTTCCCACCTTATGATCTATCAGAAAATATCCTTTAGAGTTGAGATGGACATTATTCCTCTATCTTTTTTCTAGAGCATGCAACGAGTGTAAAGTATTCAAATATGCCACGCCAGGTTATAGAAGAAGATGTTGTAAAAGCTATAAAGTTCAAACTTAATAACAAAGAACAAGCATGGAAAAAACAACACGAATCCTGTAAAGAGTAACATTAGCTGTCTATAGTATATTTTTCTATAAAGGAAAAAAATTGGTGAATATTTTTATCTGGTTAAAATACAATGTATAATTAAAATATCGTGGATTCATGGTTTTATTGAATTCTGTATAAAATAATGTGTGCTACTAGAACCTGTACAGGGAATTTGCTAAATTGTGTTTATGAAACCCTTAGTTAATGAACTACATTATAACATAGATTCATTAGAAAACTGTAGTTCACGGAAAACTATAGTTTTGAAAACTGTAGTGTTTGGGAACAAAACTATCAATTGTTAAACTACAGTTCTCCCAAAACTTTAGTTTCTATATCTATAGTATCCCCAAAACTATAGTTCCGAAAACTATAGTTTATTCATACAACTATAGTTTTCGGAACTACAGTTTTTGTTCCAAAATACTACAGTTTTCAAAACTATAGTTTTTGACTTGAAAAAATATAGTTTATTTTTGTAAGGGTTGAACTAAATTTTTGCAAGTACCTTTTTAAAGCACAGACTGTAAATTAAGGTGCAGTAATAGCCCCTAGACAAACTAACAACAAAATCATTATCTTTAAAAGTTGTTCATTTGACATCTCTCACATTATGATGAATCATTTACATAATAGCAACATTATGACAGATGTAGTCATAATCTAACATAAACTTGTAAAATAACAAGTGCAAAACAGATATTTGTTGTTTTTAAGGTAACATTTATTAATGATTGATTTGAAAATTATTTTTATTTGATTGATTTAATTGATTGAGCTCAAATGGGTTCCACTTTTATACAGTCACTGTTACCATTTTTACCTTTAATTCTGAGCTTTTTCTCGAATCACGTGATACATATATATATATATATATAAAATGAACTAAAATAAAATGGACAATTGTTTGCTGTCGCTACTGGAGTTTCACGCCGTAGGGCGATCTTCAGATCTACGATCTGTTGATTTGTTGCCTGAAGATCGCCCTACGGCGTGAAACTCCGAGTAGCGACAGCAAACAATTGTCCATTTTATTTTAGTTCATTTTATCTTACGCTCTTCTAATATATAGAATATTGAGCGCTCTTTTATCCAGGAATATTATCCATAATAATATATATATATATATATATATATATTTTATATATATATATATATATATATATGTACTATTACATAACTCCAAAGCGATGAGCAGTTAATTTTTTGTGAAACTTTTAAAAAAATGACAAACACATACAATTTTTGTTCATTGATCTTTAGTTTCTACAATAACGATCATATGTTGCTAACTTAATGGGGGCAACCTTACCCTATGAACACATGACTACCCACAGCTACAAGGGCCAAAAAGGGAAAAATGAACATATGATCCGAGTAGCGACAGCAAACAATTGTCCATTTTATTTTAGTTCATTTTATCTTACGCTCTTCTAATATATAGAATATTGAGCGCTCTTTTATCCAGGAATATTATCCATAATAATATATATATATATATATATATATTATTAACATATAAAATTAACATATGATCCGAGTAGCGACAGCAAACAATTGTCCATTTTATTTTAGTTCATTTTATCTACGCTCTTCTAATATATAGAATATTGAGCGCTCTTTTATCCAGGAATATTATCCATAATAATATATATATATATATATATATATTTTTATATATATATATATATATATATATATGTACTATTACATAACTCAAAAGCGATGAGCAGTTAATTTTTTGTGAAACTTTTAAAAAAATGACAAACACATACAATTTTTGTTCATTGATCTTTAGTTTCTACAATAAATACATTAATTAATTTCTATTGGCACTCCTCGGCCACCATACACGTGTGTGGACTCGCAAGAGTGGATAGGATATTGGCCATGTATCGACTGTTGAAACTCTCACCTTTCTCCACTCAAAAGTTCATATGATATTGCTGAAGTCTTAGCTTTCCAGAACGTTAAAGATGGAAACCTAAAAATTTATGCGAACAACATTTCCAACAACAATCTGCTTATCAAAAAACAAATAACTGCCATCTACAACAAGGTATGTGTGTTGATATTTCTGTATATAAGGAAGTTAAATTGCTTATTATAGCAGTTATTTGTCGTTCGGTTCAGTCGTTATATTTGTAAAATATGTGTTATAATATTTATGCTTGACGAAGCAAATTTACTTGAAATTGCAATTGTAATCATGTCATCATTAAATAGTTAAATATTTAGGTCGTTTTAGAAGCAGAAATACAAATATTTTAATGATGAAATCGGTTTATCTTTGCATAAAAATATACAGCATCGCTTATTAAATTTAAGTTTGCTAATTTTCAATGCAGCAAAATAGTTTTGCTAATCTTTGTACATTGTCACGACATAACATTATCAATGTCGATTGTGCCCAATTTAATGCGCCTTTGCTTTCATTCTTTGTTTTTCATAACAATCTATTCATACAACTTCCAGAACGTTGAATATCAAAACCTGAAGGTTTCAACCGTCGACCAGTTGAAGTTTTGTAAGACATAAGACAAAGAATTATCATGCGTGTTTACGCAATGTATAAATGTGACTTTAAAATGTAAATTGTTCACCAACTGTTAAGTCATTTATACACTTTTTATAAATAAAGTCTTACTCTACAACTAAGCAACGTATGAAGTACAAAGGCTAAGTCTTCAATAATATATGTTCCACTGTAATGTTTTAAAAAACCTTTAAAATAATAACTTCAGCTCCCCAAACTCCCCTCAAAGTTTCAAGCATCCTTTTCCTAATACCACAAATTTTATATTATAGATAACCCTTAGCAACTTGTAATGCTGTAGTTGTAGATCAATCAAACAAAGTTACAAATTCAAGCAACAATAATTGCTTACTAAAAACAAATCACTGTCATTTGAAGCCAGGTATGTTTACGATGATGTGTTTGTATTTTAAAGTAGTTAAATACCTGGTAGAAATTATTAGTTGTTCAATGAAGACAGTCTGTTTGTTAAATATATGTGTTATTTCTTTTACTTTGTGATGTATTAAATCACATTTATGCCTGATTAAACAAATTTATTTTAAAATTGAATATTTATGTCATCTTTGAATAGTTTAAGTATTCTTTATAAACTACCAAAATATTTTTTAAACAACTCAATTGGTTAAAAATTTATCGTCAAAATATTCTTTAGAAACTTTAACCAACAGAATTATTGCTATGGTATTTTAAATCTATGATGAGGTGCTATAATGTTGTATTCTGAATTAACCTTGATCTGCCATTGTGAAAATAGTATCAAATGTTTTTGTTGTTTATTAACACATTTTCTTTCTTAATTTAGGTTCATAAAGCCATCTTTATTGCTACAAATACTTTATCTGGCTTTATTGAGAAATTGAAAACTTGTGATTTAAATACGGACAACTTTGTGTAAAGCTTAAGGTACCATACACTTGCCTTTCATATCTGTGCATGCAAAGCGAAAAAAGGAATTTTGTTTGACAAAGGAAACTTTTTCTATCATTTCATTTTGATACAATTCCTCAAATGTACATAAAGATGGATTTCAAAATAGCAAATACCAAGGTGAATGGTGATAATAACAATGTAATAGTTCTTAAAAGAACTGTTTTAAGCAGAACACTAACCCAACAATTCAAAGGAACCGTTATTTACAGCTAGAAAGAGACGCTATGAATTTCGGCAGACTACTCCTCAGGTGTCAACGTCTGCTAAATGAGAACCTCCAAACCATGCTATATTTATAACGTTACAAAAGGTCAATGTCATCCCTATTTTTAGAGATGACACTTAAAACAGAGACAGATTAAACACGTAATCCTTTTGTCGACAAAGGACAGGATTAGTCAATTTAATTAATACCGACTCCATGATGCGTAGCTGGAATAACGAGCGACATTTTTTAATAATTTTAAAGTTTTCATCAGAATAAGCATTGGCACAGCGAGTGTTGCTCAAAAGATGTTTTCCAATCGCTGAATCACACAGAATCGGATTTTCACTTTTACACACACGTTTTGGTAGTTGTCGTAAAGGAACAGTTTTATTCCTGATAGAAGCTAGTACATGCTGTTTTATTCTCTCACTGAACATTTGAGAAGTCCTACCTACATAGCGAGCATCACACTCACATTTAAACTCGTAGACTACATTGCTTGATATTTGAGCAGGGAGAGACTCTTTGGGAGTGGGTGGAAGAATAGTTCTTTTTGAGAATATAAAGACCACATTGCATGCAAAAAAACATGCTAAACATATCAACTCTCGGTGATATTTTTAGTTTCCTTCTCGATGTAATTAGACGCCTTACCCATCCAGGGAAGTTTGAGGAAAACAGGGCTTTATCAAACACTTCACTAAAGAAATCTTTTCTCTATGCGAAGAGAAAGAGTCAAAGCGCGTGTACAAACCAGTGAAAGTTGCTTTGCGATGAATGCTTGTTAAGAACTGACCATTGCGTTCGTGTACAAGAACATCTAAAAAGGCTAATTGATTGTTTGACTCTAGCTCAGTGGTGTAATTTAGTGCAGGGTGAAGAGAGCAAAGTTTATTAAGAAAAAGTTCACGATTTTTATCGTTATGAAACAAAGAAAAGGTGTCATCCACTTAATTCTTATACCACAGCACATCAGGACAATCTGAATATGCAAGCCCTGTTTTCCTTAAACTTCCCTGGATGGGTAAGGCCTCTAATGACATCGAGAAGGAGACTAAAAATATCACTGAGAGTTGGTTTTTTGCATGCAATGTGGTCTTTATATTCTCAAAAAGAACTTTTCTTCCACTCACTCCCAAAGAGTCTCTCTCTGTTCAAATATCAAGCAATGTAGTCTACGAGCTTAAATGTGAGTGTGATGCTCGCTATGTAGGTAGGACTTCTCAAAGATTGGGTGAGAGAATAAAACAGCATGTACTAGCTTCTGTCAGGAATAAAACTGTTCCTTTACGACAACTACCAAAACGTGGGTGTAAAAGTGAAAATCCGATTCTATGTGATTCAGCGATTGGAAAACATCTTTTGAGCAACACTCGCTGTGCCAATGCTTATTCTGATGAAAACTTTAGAATTATTAAAAAATGCATGGCCTACTTAAATTACACGGCCTG